GTTGAACATACCTTAGTGATAGGGATCCATTTTGGGACCTTTGTAAAAGGCTGTAGGGAATTGGTCCACTCAGATCATTGCTGGACAAATCCCTTTAAAGGAAAAACATGGTATATGAACCATTGCCCGGAAACAGTTGTGCCCAGATTCAATAACGAACAGATAAGTAATAAGACTTACAGAAACATTAGTGATGAAAGTTCCCCAATAAAATTTGGAATAGGACCAGATAAGTTGTTGTGTGACAAATCCCTGGAAGGAGTAACAGATCTTGTGAATTGCAGCTAATAAGGGAAGTGGGAAATACAACGTTTTTGGAAGTGTTATTTTCAGCTTCACTGCATGACTGAATACAAAAAGCAAAAGTATGCATCTAGTCACTGCATACGATGAAGAGTTACGTTTGTCTCCCAAACTATATCATTAGTTTTCTGACAGTATATTTCTGGTGAACGGTGTAGAAAAACGAGGAAGCACATATCATGTAACCAGAGTTCCTATATGTAGATACAGACAGTTCTTTCTTTTTCCTAAAAACATGGAGACACAGACAATTTAAGAAATGTATTGTTATCCACTGGGAAGTTCAAGAGAGTTTCTCTGTACTACTGTGTAAATTTTTTCAGGTAATTCTCTCCATAAACAAGCTAATCATCTTAAGAATATCAGTACAAGCATTCCTTTTTTGGTAATTTTCAAACGTCTGCGAATTAGGTGCATATAGATTGGCTTATACAAACCTTCGTGTTTTAATAACAAGTACACTACTAGTTCCTACATATACTAAAAAACGCAGGTGGGGAGAATATCCATGTGGGTTTACTTTTAGTATAAAAAAAGATAGTAGCATGTTAAAATTCCACAGTGAGAAATGATTATGAGAAGTAAGAACCTACAGATAGTGGAGTGCTTTGAGATCTCTAAAGTTAGTAGAGATGGCACCAACTAACCCAAAGGAAGACAAGTTTCTGCAAAAAAAGTAAGCCAAGAACAGTTAGCTTCTCTTGTTCATTTGTCCTAAACGTTTCTTAGAAATGTCCAAATATTCAGCGTATGAGAATGGGTTTTCCTTTATTTCATCCAAACATAGTTATGAAACTTACAGTCCCATTATTTCAGAGGGGCTTGCCGATGGATATGAGCAGTTTAATCCTCTCCATATAAAAGCTTTCGGAGTGCATGGATCACCCATCCAGTTTTTTACCACACCAAAATTGTCTTGGATTGCCATCATAGCTCTAGCTGCTTTGCAAGAACAAGGAAGATGGTTAATTAAACGAATAGACAAGCAGGCAAGCTTTTAAGATGCTAATACACCTCGAATGTGATAAAGAACAGTCTAATCCGACCCTCTTTACTGCTAGGAAAAAAGTCTACTTCTCAGTCTTGAACTTACACCACAGCCATGAACAAACAGACACTACAACAACAAACAATCGAAAACAAGCTCCACCATTTGGATAGAAGAAACTTCCACAAAAAAAATGCTAAAACATAAGAAAAAATGGTACAAACAGATCAATAAACGGAACTTAGTGACATGGCAATGGCATGGCAGTAATGTGGTGGACACGTGGCATGCATGTTACACTAAATCACTAGTGAGACTACCCGAGGTTATAAAAAATGATGGTTTCAATAGTTTGAGGTTGTCAATCGAAAGGTTTTAGAATTCAGAGTTGAAAAGTGAACTTTTGTCAAGGTTCAGAGTTGGAAAGTGGACTTTTGTCTATTGCAAATTAGACAGGACCCTTAACATAGTAACTGTAGCTGGTTATATACCCTCTCTAGTCCGTACTAATATTGCATCACTAAATCCATACCGTCTCCAGGATCAGTTGCAACCGCAGTTATCAGTTTCACCAAGTACATCTCCATGGCATTGAGGATAGGTGGAAGTGTTGCATTTTTTGTGGCAACAAGTGAGACACTATAATTTTCCATCCCTTGCACAACACCGGAAAAATAATTGGCGAATAGGAATGTTGGGGTGTAAGGTCGCCTGTTCCATGTCTTGTTATTGATAATGATATCAAACTGCCGCACCGCTTTGCTCGGTACATGCTGCAGCTCAGCAAAGTAGAAAATAAAGAAGTATTTGGAGTTTATGTTCGCCGATGGATCAGATGGATTCCATGAGAAATCAATTCTTGAGCTATTAACAGTTGCTGCATTTTGCATAACAGATGGTGGCACATCGTAGACATCCCTGAGGTTATTATGCATTGGAGATGTTGCAGATATCTTTGTACAGTTCGGAATTGCATTATATGTCGTCCAGATGCGGTCTAGGGGGTCCGAGGGGTACCTGTTTAGACCAATGAAGTATATGTTTTATGCAGTATTGTAGTCCACTGAATTAACTAGAGTCAAAACAACCATCTCTCTGTCAAAAAATACACCTTGCAGATAAAACTTATGCAGTACGTATAAGGCTAAAAGCGGCGGTTACAGCCTAGAGTCATTTATAAATATATTTTTCTGCAGGATATTCAGCGACCGAAATTTTACTTCTGTTGATCAAGATGGTGCTAATGCGGATTTATGTTAAAATTTGATAACAACAATTCTAAGTCGAAACTAACCTGATTATTGAATTGTCTGTGGGTCCCATGTGGAACCGATTAGAATTAACCAGCACGAGCGATTGACTTGCATTTACCTCTGGGTAGAGGGTGGTATTCAGTGGCCTCAAATCCAGCCCAGAAACAAATGGATTACCCATACCTTTGTTCACCAAACAAACTTGCAAGTAATCAGTAGGAGCCACAAGTATGATGTCCATCCAGTTGAATGCTCCTGCATCACTATAGTTAACTTCATGCCAGTAGTTTGTCCCCAGGTAAAGATCAAAGACAGGAGGTTTGCCCAGGCCATCATAGTTTCCATAGTAGAAGGATGCACGAACAAGGTACTTGTTTCCCATCACCAAGGATCTCAGGGTGTAGCAATTCCTCGGACCGTGTGGAAAGAACCGGAGATTGGAATAGCGTTTCGCTAGTGACGGCTCCATGTAATCTGAGGAGATGATGCGGTTTTCTCCCGTGGTGATGAAACCATAGTCTGATACATATACTATGTTTGTAATGGAATCTTGGTAGGTAGAATTCAGTGGGATACCACAATCGATGCTTATGAAACCTGGAAACACAATACAAGTCAAACAGATTTATATCACCATTGGTTATGCACTTATGCATCACGGATTTCTATCATTGACCTTGAATAAACTTTTGGCTATGAGCAACAGAGGTGCTTCTCGTTGTGCATTTTCTAAACAGAAAGAGCAGTAAGAAATAAGAATTGAGGGGCAACGCACCTTGATAATCAGGCTGTCCATGGATCAACTGGAACATGTAGAAAAGGAGAACTGCTACACATAACTTCATGCTTATTCTTTACTCTTGTGAGCAAACTAGGAGAGAGAGAGAGAGAGAGAGAGAGAGAGAGAGAGAGACTGTCATATATGCATGTCCATGGGAGTAGCAAATGCTTTCACATGGTATTACGGTTGTCCTATTCCATAATGATAGATCAAGAGGGTAAGTGTGCAGTGAGCTAGTGCAGCTGTTTGGAAACACTTTCGTCATGATAATGAAGTATCTTCCACCAATAGAAAGGATACAGCTGCGAAATAATTGCAACTTTTAGACTTGACTCTATGATCCCTTTGTTGGCATTAGAAAAAGACTGTCCTCCCATGTGGTTTGGTCATCTCGTAGTAGAATAATAAATCAGAAGGGCAAGTAAACCCCATGGCTGAAGCATTTCATGGTATGTACTAATCTCCGGAATGGAAACAGTGTGGAACTAATTGCATCCCAACCGATATTGTTGTGGTGATCTTGTGGCCGTGGACTTGGTGCCTAACTTAACTGCTAAAGCTTGTGCTTTAAACTAACAAGATGTTCCTAACGAATCTTACAAGTGGCACACAAGCATAAAGTTAGGGAAGAATAAGGTGCCTCATTGCTTACTTATTAGTACTATGGGCTTAACTACGGAGCAGTTAATAATTTTAACAATTGGCATTACCGCAGAGAAGTCCTGATTTTTCACCCGGATTTCATGCTCTGCCAACAGCTTCAGATGGCGCCCCGCAGCTGCACAGCGACCACGTACCGTACCTGGCCAAGACAAGGGCGAGCGCCGCATTCGGAGACCCTGAGGCGCGGTCGGCACGCGCAATCCGTACGTCCCCCGGGGCCCCGACGGCGACGTCGCGTGTACGAGCCCACGGGTGCGGCCGCGACAAGACACCACCGCACCAACTACTCGGCCAGTGGATGGCAGCGAGCGACCAGATAGTGGAGTCGTCCCTGTCGGTCTCCTCTCCTTGACCTCGGTCTCAGTGGGCATGTCGGCACGCACTGCACTGCCCCGAAGGAGATGCAGTGCAGGCAGCCGAGGGAGCCATTACGCCGAGCACCCTGCGCGCGCGGCGACCGGAATCGACCCCGGCACGCACGCGCGCGTCCGCGCCGAGAGGAGAAGCGCGGCGTCAAGGTCGCCGGTCCCCCAGAGGGACGCGCACGGGGCGCGACCATGGCAGGTTGGCAGCGCTAGCTGTGGCGATGACATTTCGTCGAACACGCATCGGGCACTGCTTCTCGAGCATTACCACCACCAGCACCCTCTCCGTGGGCAGCGGGGAGTCAACATGGAAATTTCGCGGTGCCACGGAGGGAAACTGGACTGCGGGGCCCGATGTCAGTGATGGAAAAACCTTTCCCGCCTTCCCTCTTGGTCAACTCAACGTCAACCATCAATCTGGTGATGTTTTATTCTCTTTTTTTTTCGAAATTTCATTCCTACACGAATGAAACAAAGTAAAACCTATACGAATTAATCAACAAAAAGAATGTACAAATCCACCCATCCATCCATCGATCCTAATAAAAAAATCGCCTTCTCCCACTCTTTCTTTTCCCACATTTTTCTCAGTTATTCAATTAACACTCCTACAGCTGAGCATATTCACCGGCCGGCGACGAGCCGCTTCACAGGTCTCGTTGCTCCCGTAGCCGCTCCTCCGCGTCGAGCTCCATGAGCCTGGAGAAGACGCCGACCATGGGCGCGGTGTTGTACGTGCAGGCCTCGGTCTGCATGTACGCGCCGCGCTGGTCGTTGAACCGGTCCTCGCCGTCGGGCCCGCCGACGACGGCGCCGACGAGGTCGTGCGGGTTCTCCTCCCCGGCGCTGTACCACGAGTCGAACCCCTGCGCGCACCCGATGAACCCCTTCTCGTCCGCGAACGACGCCGTCGACGCCGCCCGGTGGTGCACCCGCCGCGGGTACTTGTCGCTGTACCCGACCAGGTAGCTCGTCTCCATCGGGTTCGTGCCCAGGATGTAGTCCGCCTGCGCCTTGGCGAACGCCAGCACCTCCTCGGCCCTGACCACGACGTCCGCCGCCGTCTCGCCGCCCGTGTCCGAGGTGTCGGCGTCCTCGTCCACGGTGCAGCGGAGGGGCTCCCCGAGCGCGGCCAGCAGGTCGGAGTGGACGGTGAGGAGGAATACGGCGTTGGTCACGTACTGGAGGTTGTTCCAGGGCCGGATGAAGATGAGCCCCGCCGGGGTGCGGGGCGCGTTGCGGGCGGCGCCGCCGGGGTTCTTGTTCATGTTGGAGCACACGTAGAACTCGGCCTTGGCCCGGAACTTCTCCAGCACCGCGCGGTACTCCGAGCTCAGGTCCTTCTCCTCCAGCAGCAGCTGAACAATGGCCCAGAGAGAGAAATGTTAATCACACGGATCAAAACAAACTATGCTAATCAACAGGATCGCAAGAAAAAATGAGCCCTAAACAGCTGATGCATGGCTAATTTCGTTTTTAATTGACCGCTAATTTGCAAATAAAACCTTTGACCCTCTCTAAAAAATATGTTGACCTCTAGGCTCTAGAGGCTGCATGTCGACCAGGAAGATTGTGATCTGCACCTTCTAGTAGTCAAACTATGTGCCAAACTTAATAGCAGGGTTGACTTGAGCAGTGATCGCTGGTAGTCAAACTATGTGCCAAACTTAAATAGCAGGGTTGAGTTGAGCAGTGATCGTTGTCAACCTGTCCTCCATGTGTCTGGTACTATTATATACGAGTGCAGAATCTTGACATCAACTCACCCGCGAAAAAAAAAATCTTGACATCAACGGACAGACGCCATGGCGGAATGGCATCCATCGTTATGGAACTTAATTTCAGTGCCGTACCGAATTTATCAGGTTATAAACCAACCCGGCCGAACATCAAAGAAAATGGGCCGCATGGGCCACATGATCCTTGTGGGCTCAGTTACCAGTGCTCAACTCATGTTGTGATCCAACCACTCTCCTTCTCTCCCAGACATGTACTCTATTTAATCCAAAAAAAAAAACATGCAACTACTGTCGGTAGAATATATTTTTTGTCTCATGTGCTTCCACTCTTTCCTTTCTCCCATCACCAATTGAAAAGCCTGTACACATCAGTAACAGCTGCTGATGTGTTTTTCATTAAACAACTGAAGAAATGACCACTCGACCCCTCCATTCCACTTGGGCAAGTAAGCAGCTGTCTAGCCAGAGTAGGTATCCATCATTGGTTGAATCGCTTGCTTCAAACATCACATCCCAAGGACGCATGACAGAGACAAAAACAGCTTGTGGATGACCAAAGAAACAGGCATGTGATCGATGAGCCTTCACCCTCATGGCAAGAGGAGCCGGCCGCATGCTGCCTTGCGTTCTAAGTATATGCCGAACAGAAGGTGTGGTCAAAGGAGTTATGATTAGGAAGGCAGTCCATTCCTACAAGACCTCAGTGACAGTGCAGCCATCGCCTCACCCTCACAGACAGTCCAGGGTTAGGAAACCGGTCTGTTTCTGGAAGGTTTTTATATAAATAAACGGCAGCTGCCAGGAGGATAGAGCACATGTGAAAGGAATGCATTAGAAATGGTTACCAAGAGGACAAAGGCACAGGTGGGGTAGATCAAAAGATCTCTCCTAGTCTCATGGCCGGCCCCGTGTTTGTATATAGTATAAAACAAATTTGGGCATCTCTCAACTTTCTTCATCCTCTTGGTGGGCTGAGCATCGCCTGCTCCCCATGATTAGCTTTTTTGCTAAGAATCATCATCAATCATATCATATGCTCACTTAACTAGGGTTTGCACATGGGTGCCCCTCGACGAAAATCAACCTCTACGCAAAAAACTAACGTTGCAACGTACCGCAAGAAAGTTAGGGGTAGACGATCAAGAAGTAGAAGAGATGGGGCGGGCGGAGTTGTTGGGCATGGCGCATCATCCATCAACTCCAACGGAAGCACCCCAAGAAAGCATGCTAGGTAAGGTAGAGGGGTAGCCATGCTTGCAAGCTAGAGAGAGAGGGTAGCTAAGCAAAAGCTAGGGTGCACCAAACACGCGGCTTGCTCCTCATGCTAACAATATATACAAAACCGGTGGCACAACCAAATCAACAAAGTCATACTACGTCTGTCAAAATTAACCATATTGATCCCATATGGTAACCCCCTACTATTTAGTTACTCCAGTAAATTAACCAAAAATTACTAGTACTATACTGGTACTACTAACTAGTAGTAATTTTTTAATTTTTTTTGCCAACTAACTACTGATAGTAATTTTTTAAATTTGGACTAAACTAGTGAGTAGTAATTGACGTATGCCTTTGACTAATTTACAGCTGCCGCGATCGGCGGTGGAATGATCCTATTTTTTGTGTGGAAATCATTCTGATGATGCATGCAGCGATGAAAAGGTAAACAAGTTTGACCAGCTGAAGGAAAGGTCGCTAGGTTGGTGCAGTGCATGCATGCATGGGTTGCGTGCATGCGTCAGCAATGGAGAGACAGAGAGAGGTACTGATCAGTGATCACTGATCGAGGTACTACTGACCTTGGAGGCGAGAACCTGGAGGCCGGGGTACTTGATGTCCCAGCTGAACTCGGAGACGCCCCAGCCGGTGCCGCCGAAGTCGTCGGCGTTGGCGACGGCGTAGTCGAGGTACTCGCGGCCGCCGGTGGCGCGGTGCAGCCACAGCGCCGCCCACAGCAGCTCGTCGTTGTACCCGCTCGCCGACGGGTAGTAGCTCTTCACCACCCGCACGCTCGCGTCGTACCGCCCCCGGTACTTGTCCGCGAACTCGAACAGCTGCACGTAATAATACGTACGTACAAATTAGTTAGCAATACGCGTATGTATAAATACGACGACATCTATACGTAAAAAAATACTACGACATAGCCGAAGCGTCAAGCGTGTGTGTGTGTGTACGATGGACGTTGAGCTGCCCGCTGTCACGTACCAGACCCAGCTGCAGCTAGTGGATCGAGTGTCGTATTTTTTAATCGTGAATTCTGTGTAAAGGGAGCTGACAAAAGCTTAAAGGGAAATTAAGCTGGTGCTAATCTAGTCTGATTTTTGTGCTTTATGTTTGATTAATTTTCTGTGACAAGTATGTAGTACGTGACAGCGTACCTGCTGCGCGTGGTGGAGGAGGAGGTGCGCGTAGTGCGCGTCGCCGGCTCGCCGGAACACGATGGACGCGGCGGCCATGGCGGCGGCCGTCTCGGCGGCCACCTCCGAGCCGGGGTGCTCGGCGTCCACCTTGTACGCCCGCCGCGACGTCGTCATGTCCTCCGGCCGCTGCCAGCAGTAGTGGTCCGAGTCGCCGTCGCCGACCTGCATCCGCGCCACACGTCGATCGGGTCAGAAAAGATACAGTATGTGTACGTGCGTGTTTACACTTTGCATTCTGCGCGGCTGGCCGGTCATGGCGATGGCGGTGTCGAACTGTCGATGGATGACTAACCTGGGTCCAGAGCTCGTTGGGCGCGGTGTGGGCCTTGATGAAGTAGTCGGTGCCCCACTTGATGGACTGCAGCGCGTGGGCGCCCTCGCCGGCGGCGGCGATCTGGTCGCCGTACTCGAGGACGGCCCAGGAGAGCATGGTGACTGTGAAGGCCATGGGGAGGCCGAACTTGACGTGGTCGCCGGCGTCGTAGTAGCCGCCCACGAGGTCCACCCCTTGCTCCAGCCCGTCGGTGAGCCCCGAGTGGCCGCGCCACCGCACCCGCTGGTTGTACGGCAGCCGGCCCGACCGCTGCGACTCGAAGTAGAGCAGGCTCTTGGACAGCGCGTCCCCGTAGTCGTGCCGCGCCGCCGACGCCGACGCCATCACAAGCGACACCGCCACGACGGCCGCGGCCAGCACGAACCTGCCGGTGACATCGCTCATCTCAGCGGCCGCCCTTCCCCGCGCGCGCGCGCGCCAAGAAAGAAACCCGCGGTCGGTCGATCGGCCTCCCGTAAGAAACTCCAAACCAAGCGCCGACGGCGCGACCGACCTTGCTCGCGCCCGATCGATTCCCGCCGCAAACGAAAATGGCCACCGGCGGCCGGCCTGGCTCGCGGTCGCTCGCCGGAACGGGCTTCCAAGAATGGAAACGGGTCAGCGCCGCCTCCGAAAAGTGAACCTGCGCCTCCTCCTTCTCCTCCTCCCTGGTAATTGAAGCTCGAAACGGAAACTGATAGATAAGATAACCGACGGAGTAATTGGCCCCCGGCCTGCCTAGCTCCCGAGTAGAGTAGTAAATAATGGCTAATGATCGGCTTCCAGCTTTAGCGGCGGACCTCCTCCTCCTCTTCCTCCTCCTAACCCTCCTCGACAATATCTTCGCTGTACATGGCCGATGCTGCGTTTATATATGGGCGCGCAGATATACAAAGTAGTAGGAACGGATCGCGATGTTGGGTTGGTGGGCTGTGTTGAAAGAAAGGGAGGGAGGGAGGAAGAAGGCTTTGGGGCTTGGCATGCATGGCGATCGATGGCGGTGCGGTGCGGTGGCTTGGCAGGGGGAGGACAGCGACGTCCCGGGAGAAGTCAGTACGAGCTACTACTCCAGTTCAGGATTTTTCTTCTTCTTCTTCTTTCTCAACTCGTGCACGCGCGCGAGTTCGTTTCGTTCCCTACGTTTTTTGGGGTTGGTCCACGCGGCCCCACGCCCCGGCTGCTGTGGTTGGTCGGTCCAGCCCCCCGGCCGGTCCTCGCGGCGGAACGGGGAACGCTTCCGGTGTTTCCTCCGGCGCACGATCGCCCCGGTTTACGGTCCAGATCGAGTATGGTCCTGCCGTGCGTAGCTCCACTGCCCCGGAGCCAATGCAAAAGCATAGTGGAGCAAGTAATATGAGAAGAAATACATAGAAGTAGCCTACTTACAATGCAAACTATATATTCCACCTATTGGAGATGCCCTGATGCCGTCATCAGAATATGTTTTGTCTAACACAATGAATAACACTCTCTCTCCTTTCGAAAATACTTGGCGTGGTTTCAGTTCAAAATGAACTGAAACCAATACAAGTACTGTAGTTTAGAACGGAGGGAGTGCTTTTTCTACTAGTTGGAATGCCACATGACATGATCGAGAAAATTTTGAGCGTCTTCCAGGTCCATAACAAGGTCGGTAATAAAAGATAGACAAACTTAATCATTTAATCTCAGCCACTTAAAATTATACACCATTTATAACCAACCTAAAACTGAGCAGTATGGTGCAAGTCTGCAAATTTAGCAAAATGTAACTGCAGTTATTAGCATTAATTTAGTTCCACAACTTGTGTCGCCATGATAGGCACATTTTATTTGCGAATAAATGATAAACATGGCTATTATTATTTCTTAATAAAAATCATTTTCGTTGTTTGTTGTTGTGTCAATAAGTTGTCGATTTTCCGTTGTGTCTGATTTCAACAGAGATTGGCACACACCACAAGGACAGTGCAAATATATTCAAGGAAATGCATTTCAAAGTCCAAACTGTGCTAACCGGGCCGGCCGGTGTAAGGAACGATAGACCAATGAATCTTTTTGGCCATTTCTCGGCGGTTGGTCCAGAACTGTTGTGATCTCATCGTCGCACACCTCTTAATTAGGTCAAAATTTGTGGAGCACAAGTGCGCAAAATTAGCAAAATGCAACGAGAATTCTTGTCCTCAAACTGAGTTTCACGCAACCTACGAATAGACAAACCAGCCGCTTTTTCATTCCCATGAGAAGGAAGGAAGGAAGGTGCATGGAGGAAGCCACATACTACTCCTACTAGGTTCTTTGATTTTTGGCAAAGCTAGTGTGTACTTTGTGTGGCTAGCTCTTTCTGTTGTAGGTGAGTCGGGCCGTTGCGGCGTCGCCGTCAGGTGGTGTGGTACATCGTTAACCAAATCGTGTGATGGGTCCCGTCCGTGGCAAGCGAAGGCGCGCATCAGCGTGCGGCCGGCCGGTGCCCATCGCCGCCGGACGATGCTTCGGTTGGAATCAAGAAACGAAAATACTACTGTGGCTAGCTCCATTGACACTTGCTTTTATTTCAAAAGTGCTAGTACTATTATGCGACTAGCTTCATTGACACTTGCTCCACCGTGTTCTGGTGGGCAGGCGGCCCACGTTTAGTTTTCGGGAGACCCACGTTTAGAAGAAGAGTAATACTGGAATATGCAAACTGTTAGGCGAGGAGGCGGAATTGGGACCTTGACGAGGAGAGCCACTGGAAGCTGCCACGATGCTACAGTACCGGTTATTGGTAGGAGTACGTGTGGGGGGAAACTGAGTGCTCACCGGAAACACCAGTTGTTGCGTAGCTGAACGTCAACGATCGATGTCGCGCCTCGTTCCACCGATGACTTGTTCCCAGCGTTACACTACAAGCATATAATATATGTACACAGGCACAGGCGCGCATGTATGGTACTCACTGCGTATATGTTTGTCCTTTTGAGATTTTGACTCACTTTTCAGTGTAAGACCCTGTCAATTGCTGTCCATTATTTTTAGTTCAAAAAAAATAATTTTGTAAATATTTTTAATGATAAATATAATTACAATTGTGTTCTCACTATAAATAAGAAAAACTAGTACTACTGGGGTGCCCTAGGACGTTATTTATTTGTCAGTGCTGCTAGTAGGTGCTTACATGTATATGTTTTTTCTTGCTAGAATGCTTATAGATAAATAATTGAGGAATCATTTCTCCTGATGCAGTGGTTGTATCTTACAAAAACTGCGTGTGATGCCCTACTTTGCTTTCATGTTTGGTGAGTGCTACACACTTGGGCTACGACAGCACCCTGGGTGCTTGAGAAAAAAAAATCCATTTTGCTAAAGTTCTTTCCCTTAAGTCTGAAAATCAACGATTCTCGATCTTTAAAGTGTCAAAACCATATTGACGGCAACGTGTTGGCAATTTCGCACATGTGGGCAGCCCACTTGCCAAATGCTGTTATGAAACAAGAAAATCAAGAAAAAGAATCAAAAGAAAAATCCAAAGACTGATGGTTTATTGGGAAACTTTTGTTATACATTGAAGAAATATTGAGAACAGGTCCACATTAAAATATTCACAATTTAAAAAAATATAGATGAAGAAATCGGTTTTCAGATACAATGCCATTTTTGATATATTTAAAATAAAAGGGTAGGAAATAACAAATAAAACATTTAAAATACGAAGTATTGGAGGAAACATGGAAATTTAGAAGAAAAACGAAATATTCAACGCATTTGCTGTTGAGCAGGCGTCAAAGGGGCTGTCAGTTTTCTAAGTGCATTTGCTCTATTTCTTTTTTTGTCGGTTTTTCTTTGCCAATATGGGTATGTGTGAATGGTGTGTGTGTGTGTGTGTGTGTGTGTGTGTGCGCGCGCGCGCGCGCGTGTGTGTGTGTGTACGCATAAGTATTACGTAATACGTCTGTAAATTATACTAGAGTGCAAAATTTGCATAATTATATGCTTATTTTTGTATATGCAAAAATATGTGTTTGTGCGCGCTTTTTTTTCATCATTTGCTATTAGTTTATTTATTTTCTTTCTTATTTAATGGTAATACCAATGCCACTAGTTAATTCTTTCTTATAAACAAACATTTGTGTGAAATCTCACTATTATATGATTATTTTTTCATCTTATAAATTTATTTGCAAATTATGTGCAATTTTTTTCATTGTTTGTTTTAATTTCTTCCTCTTTAAAGTTAAATACCACTACATAAATTTATTCTTTTGTAGAAACTTTTATTTTAATTGTATTTCCTTTTAGCATGAGTATAGGGACGAGAAGAAGGCTAGAGAAAGAAGAAGGTTGGACCTTCGGATTTTATCAGGTGGTGCATAGTGGTGGAGAGCGATTTTACTGAACGTCCAAAAAATTCAGCCACCTGTGTAATAGTTGCTTCCAATATTCAAGGAAGTTCCTGAAAAACTAAAACTTGAAACTAAGAAAATCATAAGTTGGGGAACAGAAAATGGTTTGCATTTATAAAATGTCTAGTACCTCGGGAGACCTTTTTTTGAGTTTTAATTTTGTACATGATGAATGGGTTTCCACGTGCACAAGACCATCGTTGCTTGATCGTCAAACTACTCTTTAGAGTTGAGAATGTTCCAGACTTGTTTGACAAAGGATAATAAATTGATATCAAGAATATATCACTTATATATGGCCTCTGCAACGATACAATATCAAGATACAATCTCGACATTTAGGTTGCACACAACCAAAATGATAAAAAAAAGAAGAAGGAAAAGAGAGAGCCGGCGTGACAATGACACGTAACAAGCAAACAAGTAGCAACATCAACCACCGTTATTTTGCAACACATGGGCTATAAGAAAGATTCTTCGTAAGCAACACACTAGAAAGGGAACGATGCGCAAGCTCCTCCTCTGCCAAATCCAACAACAGACGGTTGCATCTTGGGTTTTCACCCGAAAATGGTACACATGAAGAATCTTCAAAGTAATGCCTTTAACAAGGATGCGAAAACATCGCCAGTACCAGGTGCAGCCACTGAAGGCCGGACCAAGGGTTTTGACCCTGGAGCTTGAGACCCCGTACTAATAAGGCACCATGTGTGCCACCACCACTTGCCGAAGAAGACAATATTGCCTAGTGAGGCACTTCCACACACCATGATCACGAGAAATTTGGCAATGTGTCGGCAGTTTCACACATGTGGTAGCACACTCGTCAATGTTGTTATGAAACAAAAAACTTAACAAAAAATAACAAATAAAAAAGTTCAGATAATTGATGGTATATTGGAAAACTCTTGTTATACATTGAAGAAATATTGAGGAAAAGACCACATCAAAATATTCACACTTTCAAAAATATAGACGAGTAATTCATTTTATATAATTTGCTATAATATATTTAAAAGAAAATGATTAGAAATAAAAAATAAA